GGAAGGAAGGAAGGAAGGAAGGAAGGAAGGAAGGAAGGAAGGAAGGAAGGAAGGAAGGAAGGAAGGAAGGGTTTTAGTGGGTCCCAATATACCAAGGTCAGCTCAGGTATCAATGGCCTATTCACTGATGTCCTGATCCCCTGCCACTCTCTAAGTGGTCCTTTGTCCCCACATAACTGTGGTGTTCTGAACCTCTGCTTGAACACTAATTCTTAGTGCCCCTTTATACTTGCTATCAAACACTTTGAAGCAGAGGTTCCAGAGGTAGAACGTTTGATATCCATAGCATGTGCTTAATTACAGAGGTCCATCCCACATATGATAATGCAGTAAAAGCCCACATTTCCTCTTTGAGTATTGTACAGCAAGTTGGAAAAAAACCTGTAGAGCTTTCCAATAAATGCCCATATCTGTCATCAGGACTTCCTTCCTATGGTCAATACCAAAAAAAAGGGAAGCAGAAGTTTATTAATACAGAAGTACCCTATTTGTAGGAGGACATGGATAGCATTTGCTATGTAGCCTACTTATCATACTCTGAAGTTATATAATTCAATGTAGAGACCATTTTATCATCAAGATACTGCATTTCCATCACTTTTACAGCCTGTGTTTCCTCCTGCAGCCACCCATCTGCTGGAGCAGAAGCTGAGGAAGAAATTGAAAGAAACTACACTGGAAGCAAAGCCTAAAAAATCCAGAGTGAAAAAACAGGAAAAATCAAGCCCTGCAGAAGAAGCCAACAGTGTTCCAACTGAGAGTAAGGAGAGCAGCAATCGTTCACTGTCATACCAGAAGTATAGATATTGGTCCATGAAGAGGACTCAGAGCTGTTATCTTCTTTTTGGCAGCAGACAGGCGTAGAATCACTGAGATTTCAGGTCATCATGCTGGCAATTAGCCTGTGGGGAAGGGTGACAGGGGAAAGATGGCTTAGCCACACTCAGTGAAGTAACCTCCAGACTTCCTCATTTTCTCCCAAGTTTCTGAAAAACTGACATTTTAGTACATAGACAAAATGTTTCTTTTCATCAGAGCATTTGACAGATGAAAGTTGGATTGCTGATATTTTAATTTTTAAATTTACTAATTAATTAGTATTTATTAACTGCACAGGTTAGATTCATATGCCACCTTTCCTCTAGAACAGCGTTTTTCAACCTCTGCAACTTTAAGATGGTTGAGTGTTTCTCAGCCTTTAAGACCCATGCTGGCTGGGGAATTCTGGGAGTTGAAGTCCACACATCTTAAAATTGCTAAGGTTGAGAAACACTGGACTAGTCCAACACTTTAGCCACTATACATATTGGTTCTCCATGAAGTATTTTATTTAATGAGCTAACAAATATTTTATGATAATAAAATACATTTTTGTGCAAGTTAATTGCAAAGTGCAATAAACACACGATTGTATCTGCCAGATAAAAAGATCAGTGTATACATTTAGCACATAAAGGAAAAAGAAACATAAATAGCCAGATCAAGAGCCTCTATATAGCTCTGTACAATCATACCACCAGGAGGTATAGACATGATGGCAACCTTACAAATTTACTTGTTGATTGTTTGAATTCTTTCATTCTTATTAGGTCAATGTGGAATGGAATGCAGAAGAAAAATCAGATCTATTTAATATCTAAGGAAACCCAGCATCTGTATGACATTTAGGGAAAAGATCATTTAAATTTTGTAGGTGAAAAGATGGAACTTTCAGCCAGCTATCTGCTACTGTCTCATCTAAGTAGAAAACAAGATGGGACAATGGCAGAAAAGAAGATCCATATGTCAGAATTAGGTTCCAGCTGAATCCCTGTAGAGTAGGGAAGAGGCCATTTAAAGAGTAGGAGCGGCTGAACTTCTCCCCTGCCAATGAGTTTACACTGCCCCAAGAACTGAGATGTTTCTAGTTTTACTGGTAAAATGCTAAGACCAGAAGTAAACTCTGCCCAAAGGAAAGAGTACTTACAGAAAGGTATTTTCAGTGTGTAAATCTTGATGGGAATGGCCTTCTACCTGCTAGTGTAGTATTTTAGATCGCCTAATTTTATAGGAATCTCTTCTGAATCAAGTTAGAAAATGTTGCTTTCCTGTCTAGTGTGGCCTTAAGGGTGATCAGCTCCCTATACTGCAGATACCGTATTCTGGTCAGATTCATCCAGAAGAGGGCAGACGCACATTAGGCAGGGCACATGCAAAATATCCTCTAGCAGCTGGGACATCACCATCTTTTTGTCCCAATAATCAACACTGCTCAAGAGAAGCACAGGGCAATCCCATCTGATCCCAAAAGACAAGGTGTTTGCTGCTTTTCCAAAGCCAGCCCATTCTTCAAAGCCTTCCCATTGTCTGCCTGTGTTATACCTCATCCTTCATTTCTCAAATACCTGTCTTGACCCTAGTGTCTCTTCCTAAGCTGTTATCAGAAAAGTGAGAAAAAATAAAAAGGAGAAGCCACAAGAACATGGTGAGAAAGACACATATGCCAAATTCATTAAGGATCCCAGAAAAGAGAAGGAAAGGCCTTCTTCTCATTTCAGCGTGAGGAAGACACCAAAAAAGAAACACGGTAAGGCACCACCAGCTCCTGCATTCTGTGTTTCAAGAAAGGACATTTCTATAGAGCAGCCCCATCTCCCACTTCAAACCCTCTGCAGGAGTTTCAAGCCGTCGCATGAGTGTCGTCACTGCTGAATGTCTAGTCTGACCATTGGCCAACTGAAGGGTATACACACACATACACAGGCACCTAGGCAGAACTACATCCCTTCCATTGCCCTGTTTGCTTTCTTGTGGCAAAAAAAAAAAAAAGCAGATGCTACCATTGTTCACTGTTTGGAGGAGAGGACAGCAAACCTGGCCCTTTCTACAGCCAGGGAAAACAAGGAGGAATCATGCCACAGCATGATGGTGGCTTAGCTGCAGGAAGAAGGAAGGAATTTCCAGGAAATGGGTATTGGGATGAGGTGGGAGTTCTTGTCAATAGGAAAATGCTCACCCTACAGCTGCAGAGAAAATGCTTGGTGTCATGAATTTCTATACAGATGTAGTAATAATCCAACCCTACTCCCCTTTGGTTGGGTCTGTTTCTTTTGAACAAATTATGTTCTTCCAGTCCTGTGTTCCAATCAAGAGCCCCATCCCAGCAGGTTTCAGTAATACCAACAATGTCATATTTGTTCTTCACCTCGCGCATGACTTCCTCTTCTCCCTATTTGTTCCCCATACTCTGCACATTTGTATACAGTGTTTTTCAAACTTGGCAACCTGAAGATGTGTGGACTTCAACTCCCAGAATTATGCTGGCTGGGGAATTCTGGGAGTTGAAGTCCACACATCTTCAGATTGCCAAGTTTGAAAAACACTGGTGTACAGGCAAAACATTTTTTTTCCAGCTGTAGATTTCTCTTTATCAAAGAAACTCATCACAAATGTGGAAACTGCACTTTTCCAACATCATGTTTGTTTTGGAATATTTAAAGATGTTAATTTAATCTCCAACCTGATGAAACTGACAAATCCTGAAAGTATAGCATTTCCCCAATCATAGGTGTCTGCAGGGTGTGGTCAAAAAAGTCAAAATGGCAGCCAGGACAGTGTGATCACAGATAAAAAACAGGTGGAGCACATAAAAAACAGGCTGAGCATCAACCACACCATTGTGGCCATCATCTTGTGTGTTTTGACCACACCCTGTGGACATCCCTGCCCTAATCTATCCAGTAGCATAAGTGGAGGGAATGTATCATGCAAATGAGATAAATTTAATTGTGCACACTTCGCAGAAGCCTGTGAATAAATCCTTCATCATTATAATAATAGCTACTGACAGACAGAATAGGAACATTCTTAGCTCCAAAACTAAAATAATCTATTTGTATGTAATATTTTACCTCTGTTTTTTTCCATTTCAATAGCTTTGAAACCATCGCTTCTTCTATTTTCCCTCTGTTAACCTCTACTTATTCAAACCTCAAACTTTTAGCGGATTCTGAAGATGAAGTGGAAGAGGATGAAGAGGAGGAGTTTGAAAGTGATCTACCAAAAATACCCAAAAGAAAGATCCTCAGAGATATTCCATTGGTCAAAAGTAAGGGGAGGAAGGCCAAAAATAAAGGTGAGTTTGAATTTCAGAGGCCACTTATGGACCATAGACAAGTTGGTTTAGATGTGGTTTCCATGCGTTTTCTGTAGTTCTCTGAGGGATACTAAAACTGTTCCCAAAAAACTTTTGGGAAACCATACCCATAAGCTGCTACCTGTGGTATAGATATATCCAGAACCAAAAGCTTGTTTCTGTTTTCCAGTGCTTGGAAGGAGCATGTTTTTAAAACTGGTTGAAGCTATTTTTAACTATTGCAGAATTCACTTTTTAAACTGCTACTCTGCAAAGTTAGTTAGGAAAAAAGAGCGGAACATTTTTATCACACAAGAGGACACCAGCAAATCCAATGTTGTGAGTAGGCCTAAGATTCCACACATCATGGGAAGAGATTCACAACAGCAAACACTGAGCAGATGTAAAATAAGCAATCTCTTTCCTCCCCTACAACTAAAAGCATAACTTCCTCTCTCCCATCACCTAAATAATGTTTATTTATTTAGCCACATTTATATCTTATGCAACCTACTCCTTGTGACTCCATTTGGCTTACGATATATAAAACTATAGCATATGAAAATGAAATTAAAAGTGATTAATAAATACAATGACTAACTACTGTTCATAAAAGCTATTGCTACACTTACAAAGACCTTTCTGCTCGAATGCCCTTGGGGAGAAAACATGTTTCTGAATGCTGCTCCCAAAGAAGGGGACTACTCCTGAAGCAGTAATGCAGTTGAGCCCCAATCCCCAATTTCCTTCAGGGTGGACACCCAATGCATTCTCTCTCTGTTAGACGGTGCAAGGTGAACAGATTGTACTTGGAGAACATGGCCTGAAATGTAACGAGGGTCCATGCTGTACTGGCCCAGAAAGCTACTGACAACCAACACAGCCCGTGCAACAGATGTGCAGGATTAACTCCGCTCAGCAAGCAGGCAGACACACACACACACTCTACCCGCCGCAGTTTCTGAGCTACTTTACATGAAGCAAATTGCAATCTTCTGGGAGATGACAAGGGCATGAGTCACAGTCTTCAGCACCTCATATGTAGTATAACCTTAATAATAGAAGAAGACTTCAATTAAAAATGTTATTGTTCTTCCCGATACATACTAATGACTGTAATGATACTTGATTGCATAGTGATATCACTCAGATCTTTCATGCAAAATACCAGTGATAAATCATTTTCTGTTTGAAAAACTGCTTTGTTATTTGGGTGAGGGGGAAATGAACAAATGGAAGATTGCAAAGAGGAGTAAATGATAAAGTGTATGACTTAACAAATGGAAACAAACAAACAAACAAAAATGGTTGTATATCTGTAAAACTAAGAGGAAGGGGAGGAGATAACAGGATTGAATGAAAGTGGTCTGAGTTTGTGGAATGGAATTAATTAATACCTACAGGAAAGTGAAGGTATAAGTTTAATTACGAATGAAAGGCCTAAAAGGTATGTCAGAAAGTACCTAGTTTGTTGTGACTGTGCATGAAAGTAGGAATCAATAGATTGGAAATACCTGAATATTACGTTCCAGTGAATGATGATATTGGAAGAACCAAAGATGAGTTTTGTAGCAATTATGCAACTTTCTGAACGAATGCTATCTGGGGGTGGGGTGGAGGAAATATATTCTGTTAGGTGACATGAATGAGAGAGCACAGATAAAATGATTAGATAGTTCAGAGACCCAAGAATGAATGAGAATCGTGTCTGTGGAATATCTGCATAAAGAAAGGTCTGCCTGTTTCAAATATGTGTATCTGTAGAAAAGGAAGGAATATAAATTTTAAAGTGTGATTGATTTGATTGTTTATGATGAAGGATTGAGAGAATTAATGAAGGATGTAAGAGTGATGAGAGCTCTGGATGTGAGAGATGATTTGTTGGTAGTGTCAGGAGAGGATCTTGTGAACAAAGAACACCGAAGAAAAAAAGAAGTGAAATGAACTAGAATGAAAGTTAAAAGATGTATGAATGCTGGATTTTAAAAAATTGGTAAATACATTAATCTCCCAACAGGATCAATGGAAAGTGGGCATAAGAGGAAGGGAAAGCAGCTTGGAACAGAGTGAAAATAATTATACTACACGGTGCCGTAGAAGTGTGTAGAGTTATAGTGATGGACAATATGAAAAAAGATGCTTGGTGGAATTAGAAAGTGAAAGAAGCTGTGGATGAGGAAAATGCCTGTAACAGAATGATAGTTAAAAATGAGAACAAGAAAAAGGAACAAGATTATTTAATATGTATATAGAGAAGGTAATTGCAAAGAATTTAATCAAAGAGATAAATAACAAAATGCAGAGCCATTTTGATGGAAAAAAGATTGTTCCAGAAGTAGGTGAAGAGGATTAAACAAGAACTCTCCAACAGAGTGTATGACATTAAAAATAAAAGTGATAAAATTATTTGGGATGAAACTGAAGTGAAGGAATGCTGGAAGGAATATTTTAGAGATGTATTGGGATGATTGTGATACAGTATGTCTAAAGAGTGGAATTGAAACCAATACGTCTTTGTAACTAAGGAAAAAAAAGAAAATACCTAAACACTGTGAGAATGTTGAGAAATTATAAGACTGAAAATGTGCTGGTGTAATTGGGGAAATGTTAAATTATGGAGGTGGTTTGCTTATGAAGTGGCTATGTGGCTCGTTTGATGTATTTGTGAAGCCTGGACTTGTGCTTGAAAATTGACTGTTGTTCCGCTGCACAAAGAGTGAAGAGTGTAGCAAGAGTGACCGTAATAGCTACAGGGGGACATCTTTCTTTCTTTCTTTCTCTTTCTTTCTTTCTCTTTCTTTCTTTCTTTCTTTCTTTCTTTCTTTCTTTCTTTCTTTCTTTCTTTCTTTCTTTCTTTCTTTCTTTCTTCTGCCTTCTCTCTCTCTTTTCTTCAAATACCATATTCTCTCAATCAGTATTTTCAGGGTTCTTCAACAACCAGCAAATTCTGATTGATGTGAAATGACATGATAGCAAGACTAAAAGAATTATCATGAATGTATCATGGCCTAGTATCCTACTTGTAAATCTCTTAATATTTGTTATGCGTCTTTGATAGATACTAAGCCCAGATCAAACAAAGCTTATAATGGTATAGCATGATATATAAATTCAGGTCTCAGTTCATCCAATTCCTATTCTCATTCTTTCACCTTGGACAGGGAACAAAGCTGAAGCTGATGTCAAGGCAGGAACTACAAAGACACTAGAAAAGGATTCAACATCTGTGTTTCAAGTGAATGAGGATAACAAAGGCAAAAATGTCAAAATCAAAGGTGAAAGGTTTTACATCTACAATATATTTGCATTGTTGTCCCTGCAGGCCCATTGTCCGTAAAATGCATCTCTCTGATAATGTGATAATGATACTGAGGTTCACATGATAATGTGGACCATTCAGGATACTAGCTAATGATAATGAGGCAGAGAAGGAATCATAATTGGATTGATGATTATGTGCATGATTCTGTGTACGTATGTATGAGAGAAAGAATCTGGGGGAAGGTAGTAGATGTGACTGCATTTTAAGTGTGTGTGAATAGAAGAACGGGTTGGTGCAATATATGGGAGGATGGGCGAGGAGGATATGGTGCCGTACCTGTGTGTATCCCCTAATAGGCCAGGTATGACTCCACTGACTTCAGCCAAACCCAGTGGCATGCAGCATCTGGTGTATCGTTGCATGCTGCCTTTAGTGGTAAACAGACTGCCCCCAACTGCCTTAGGAAGGTTTACTCATGCAATCCATGGAGCACATTTGTTTCCTATCTTGTTTGATATAAGTGCATGAAAGGTTCAAAATTACTCTGGAGCTACAGAGAAGTAAGCATAAGCAATTCTTAGGATTTATCATGATGCCAATTTTTGGGTCTTGCACAGTCTGAATCCAACATTAAATGACATTACTTGGCTCAGTCCCCTTTTCTGAGGATTCAGGGGAAACTTGGCAATATCTGTTAGGAGATCATGTATTATTAAAAAGAATACAATCGGACCAATTTCTCCCTGGATAAGAACTTTTCACTTAATAACTGTAGATATGAAAAATAGTGAGACAGAAGATGATTCCGGTTCCAATGCCAAGTCAACAACACTGGAGAAGAAGAAGAGTGCAGTGGCAATGTTTCAGGCTGGAGGAGAAGGCCTCAAGGAGAAGAAAGCTAAAAAGAAAGGTAGGTGCAGTATTTGCTGATAGAAACACGGAAAGAAGATATATTCACTTATTCACACAGACTTCACAGTCAGAATGCTTAGTACTGAGGTGCCATCACTGAGAATTTTGAATCATCATGCTCATATTGGAATGGACTTACTGCTAAGATACACATCCTGTCCTTCTCTCTTCCATTCCTATAGACCAGGGTTCCTCAACCTTGGCAACTTTAAGACTTGCTGGCTGGGGAATTCTGGAAGTTGAAGTCCACCCGTCTTAAAGTTGCGAAGGTTCAGGAACCCTGCTATAGAGTATGGTCCTTGAATCAATGGAAATTGTATTACCTTACTTTAAAATGATTCTCAAGACATATTATTCCAATCTCCATTTAGTTGATTATACTATACCATGTTTCTAACTAAGGTTTTATCTGGTATTGTATTTATTATTTGTCTCCTGTTTGTTATATACTGTGTATTTTTGTATTTGAAATATATTGTAATTCACTTGCTTAAGTTGCTTATCATAAAAAAAAAAAAAACAGGCTGAAAAGCTATTAGATAAAGGCTGTTCCCCCCAGATCAATGACAAAAATATTTGCTTTTCCATCAGTGGCAGAGTGGGACAAAGAAGTCCTGAGACTGCTAACAAAGGCTAATCTATATGTTGCTATCAACTGTATAACCATCAGATGGTCACTAAATTCTTTTTTCTACAGCTCCCCCCAAAGCCATTGAAAATGACAGTGAAGAAGATGTAGCCCATAAGAACTCCAACAGGAAAGGAAAAGCGAAGAAATCCAAAAAGGTAACCAGTGAGGAATTCCTATAGGATGATGCCATCCCACTTGGCATATTAAAGCTGAAAACAATGGGAGAAATTAGGATTCCTGCCTGTCCATTCACATTCCCAGCTTCCCTAGTTTATGTCTCTAACTTCTTCACATGGGATCGGAACAGACCATTCTCTTTTCACCCAGGATAGAGGATTGACTGAATTTCCGTTCCTGAACTAAGAAGCCAATGAGGAGTTTCCGAACTGAGAATGGGGAACGGAATTTAAAACTTTGCCAATCTTATAACAGGAAAATGTCCAGCAGTATTTATTTATTTAAATAAACGGATTGGTACCCTGTTAGGGATTATTAGGCAAACATCTCCAGATAGGCTGTTATGACCAGGCTGTTTGCAAAACATTTGGCAGATAAAATCCACTCAGAGTTAGTTGTCTTATGGGCAGAATCTAATGAGATGACTTGGCCATTGTCTTGAAATATCATCTGGGATTTGCTCAAGTTGTGGGCTCTGAGAAATGTGAACAGGGTTCTCTGTAATATGAATGCTCCATGAGTTGGATTCATGGCCCTCCAGCAAGGGCTGTTTGGATTCAAGAGGCAGTTAATGCTTCTTGGGGGAGGAGGGAACCACCTTGAAGGAGGGCAAGATTCACCCCTCATAAGGTCGTCCTCTTGTGATCCAGCTGTATTGGATAACTTCCATCTAGTCTCCACTGCCTTTTTTGGAGAAAGTTATTGAAAAGATGGTGGGGTAAATTGCCAAAAGTCCTGGATGAAGCGGATCACCTGGACCTTTTCTAGTTTGGTTTCAAACCTAGGCATGGGACTCAAACTGCATTGGTCGCTCTTATGAATGACCTGAGGTGGGACCCAGAGAGAGGAAGGAACGGAGTGTAGCCCTCCTGATCCTACTAGATCTTTCAGTGACATTCAGTGCCAATGACTATGTGGTCCCCTTCTGACCCTATGAGGGTCAGGGATGTGAGACACAATATTACAGTGCTTCTGCTTCTTCCTGAGTAGGTGGTTCCAGCTGGTGGTGGTAAGGGATGATAGGTAGTGCTGTTGGGCATGCCTATGTAAGTTTCTTTAGGGTCTGGCTCATTTAATCATCACATTTGACAGTAATATAAAACTGCTGAGACAGATTATCCATTGTCTGGGGTGAAGTATCATCATTATGCAGATGATACTCAGCTACCCTGAACTCCAGAAAATGCTGTGGAGGTCCTGGTCTGGAGGCTGTCACAGACTGAATGGGATGAAACAGGCTCAGGTTAAATCCCAGAAGCACACAAGAGTTATTTGTCTAGAAACCATGTGGTTCAATGTTAGCTCCAAGTTTGGCTCTGGATTGGACCACACTCCTCCTGAAGAGGAGGTCTGTGATCTGGAGGTTCTGCTGGTCACTTAGCTCCTCCTAGAACAGCAGGTATAGGCCATGGCAAGAAGGGCTTTTTGCCCAACTTTGGGTGATTCACCAGTTGTAACTTTACTTGCAGCAGGATGCCTTGGCAAATGTCACTTATGCCCTCATCATCTGTGTTTGGATACTGCACTAGACTCCATTTGGAGCTAACTCTGAAAACTACTTGGCAACATCAATTGGCACAGAAAGAGCAGACCATCTGCTGAGGGGTATCAGCAGGGGCCTACACCTATATCACAGGCACTGCATTGATAGCCAATTTATTTCCAGCTTTAATTCAAGGTGCTGGTTATTAGTCAAGTCCTAGTTGCTCACAGGAACATGTTATCTGACTAGAGTCTACCCACCCTGTACATGTGAGCAGGGATGAAGAAACTCATCCTCTAGGAGGCAAGGGGAATGGAGATCCAGAAGCACATTTTCTCTGTGGTGGCCTTAGTCTTCTGCAACAGCTTGCCTCCCAAGTCAGACTGGTACCCTCTCTGTTCAGTTTCTGCAAGATTGTCATAGCTGACCTCTTCTGTCAAGACTTTGGGAGTAAGGATAATCTGAGTGCTGCTGTCATTTTTATGCTGGTTTTAGCTGTTTGATTTTGTTGATTATTTATGAATTAATTACAGGTAGTCCTCACTTACCGACTGCTTTGTTCAGTGACTGTTCAAAGTTACGACAGTAGGTTTTATGTAGGTTTATGACCAGTCCTCGAACTTGCAGCTGTCACAGCATCCCCGTAGTCATGTGACTGTGATTTGGGGTTTTGCAACTGGCGTGCATTTATGACAGTCGCAGCAACCCACAGTCATGTGATTGCCATTTGAGATCTTCACAGCCAGCTTCTGACAAGAAAAGCCAGTGGGGAAGCTGGCAGGAATTCGCAAGTTGTGGTCATGTGACATCTCGCTTAACAACCTGTGGTGATTCACTTAATGACCACAGCAGAACTGACGTAAATCTGGCACAGTCATGTGACATTTCACTTTACGACTGCATCACTTAGCGACAGAGTTGCCAGTCCCAATTGCGGTCGGTAAGTGAGGACTACCTGTATACGTGAATGTTGTTTCTTATGTATTGGAATCAGCCCTGATACTTTGTTACAACAGCATATAATTTTTTAAAATAAATGACTAATTAAATAAGTGATTAATCCTAGCCCCTGTCTCCATTCCACTCTCTCTCACACTTATGGAACTCAGCACTTTGTCATCATCTGCTTTCAGGACTTCACACACCAGAGAGAGCAGAAAGCACTTTTCAGGAACCAGCTTTTGGATACTGTGGGACCTACTATGTCAGAAAGAACAACAATAAACTAAGACACAGATGGTTGGGAAGTGATACATAAAATATCATCACTGCAATTTTCAAAACAAACAATGCTGGTCTTTTAGTGGCCATGCTGGAATGCTTAAGATAAACGATTTTGTAAGCAACTTCCTCTCTCTTTCTTGGTACTGGACTACAGAAAGAAGAAAAACCACCTTCTCCAGTCATTGAAGAGGACAATCTGGAGGATTTTGTGCTGCAGCCAGCTCCTCATGGAATGACCATCAAGTGTCGGCTCACTCGAGACAAAAAAGGGATGGATCGTGGTCTCTACCCTACCTATTACCTTCATCTTGATAATGACAAAAAGGTGCGTGACTAAAGGGAGCAGTCTTGCCTTTGTGAGTGTGTAAAGATTGCCTTGTATGTTTATATTTAATATATAATTCATGCTCGCTGTCTACCAGGCACCAAGGGCAATGTACAGTATGAATAGAGGAGTAAAGCCTATGCAACAAAAATAATCCAGATGATAAAGTGTGAAAGGGCATTAAAATTACAGAGCAGTGAAACCATGCAATATTGAGACCCTGATGGCACAGAATGGCCTTTATTTTAAAGCAAGTGATGGTGTCGGGTTTTTTTCTCTGTCTTTGGAGGGAGAGAACCTCAGTGAGGGGGCTGCTGTGAAAAACCCTGCTTTGAATCACATCGGTCCTCTCTCTCTGGGACCTAGGCCGTGAGATAGACAGGAAAACCTCTGATTCTATTCAGACATTACAGAAAGGCTCACAAGAAAGAAGCTGTCCTTTAAACAGTTCACTGTAATGAAATCACACAGGGATAGATAAATGGGTTGCTAAATATATCTCCTCTGAGAGAGATCAAATGGCAGCCTGTTTCAATAGGCCAAACAAGAAATGGTGTTAACTGTGAGAATGTAATCAATGTGTGTAAATCATAGGAAATGGGACATGAAGATTATTTTTTTTCCTGCCACAGTCTTAGCAAAAAAAAAAAAAAAAACCCTTAGGAGCAGCTGTTTTGCATGCCAACAGACGGCTTCCTGGAAGAGCAAATTGGGAGCCTCTGTTGAAACACAAATAGGAGATTCAAAGGGTATTTTTGTCTAGACACCCCTATAAAAGATATCTAGAACCTAACTTATGAGAGAGTTCTAGGAACGTTGTGATAATGAATATACTAATGCAGGTTTCTCAAACTGTGGGTTGAGTTGGTGAGCAACTTTCAGTGGCAAAATCAAAGCCAGAGATTACTTTTGGCAGCACCTGGCAAAGCAGGTTTATGAAGGTAAAGCAGAGAGCAAAGGCTGAGTGAGTTTTGCCAGGCCTCCAGTTTTGCCTGGACAAGCCTGACTTGTGCAGTCGAAATGGAGCATTGTCAAAACTTGCTCCCATTTTGCCTGGCCAAGTCCACAGCAGGCAGTTGTGGTACTGCACAGTTTGAAAATGTTAAATAAATTATGTAATTAAATATTAATGTAATTATTAAAAAGATATTGGATATTTGGTTATTGTCCTACTCTGTGAACCCCTGTGAAATATATACATACCCCTATGAAATCATTTGTTCTATTCATGTGGGGGTTGCACAGATTAATTTATCCTTCTAGGAGGTTGTAGTATCGCAAGTACTGTGATCCCCAAACTGTCTAGCTGAGATGATCAATGATTGGATGTGGCAGCAGGTATTTCTGGACAGTTACTGTGCAAAGATAAATCACTATGGATCTGAAAATTGTAAGTTCAAAGGGTATCTGAAGCAGCAAAGGGAGGGGAGACAAAATGGTGGGCTCAACTGTGCATCGAAGCATCATCCCTTTCTATATTTGTCAACCTCATATGGAGGTTGGAAGGAGTGGAGCTTTGATCAATGGTTTTCCCCACCTATTTGGTCCTCTTGGATCCCACTTTCTGGACACCCCTGTTTTGAAAAAGTGTGGGGAGGACTAAAGTCTTCATCCCCAAGCTTCCATGCTCAGCCATAGAATCCAGCAGATCAGGCAGGGATAATGCTGAGCAACAGGGAGGATGGGACGCCAGCAACAAACCCAGCTGTTTCCTGCAGCCCGACTTTAACCAGAGGTGGTGCTTGTTATTATTGTTGTTGTTGTTGTTATTATTATTTATGACCACCCATTCCAAAAGATTCCTTGCCCCCCTTGGGTGATACATGCAGCTAGAGAGAGCATAACAGCATGAGTGCGGAAAGGGATTAATGTATCTTTGGAGGAAAGGATGATGCAAACTGTCTTGAAGAAGATGGTGGCACATTCCCCTCCTCAAAAAGCAATATCTTGGCCCAGCAAGTATCCTATTACAATTATAGGCCAGAGAGAGACTGGGGTAAATCCAACCGTTTCTTGGTAAGGTTGTTGAGATGATTGGACTCCAACTTCTAAGGATCCTGGATGAGATGGATTATCTGGACCCCTTTCATTTTGGGTCAGGGCTGGACAGGGGACTGAAACCACACCGGTCACTCTTGTGGATGACCTGCAGCTGGACTTGGGGGGAAGGTGATGGGGCACCTCTCCTTGTTTTATCAGAGTATTTAATACCACTCAGTATTTGATACCATTAATTATGGCATCTTTTGGGCTGTGTGAAGTTTGGGATTGGAGGCAGTATTCTGCAATGGTGCTGCTTCTTCAAGAACAGGCAGTTCCAGCTGGTATTGCTGAAGGAAGAGTGTTTGAGCTTCTGAGTATGCCCGTGTAGAGTGCCCAAGGGTTTGGCCCTCCTCCCTACATGAAACTGCTGAGGAAGATTATCCATTGGTTTGGGGACAGTATCATCAATTTGCTGATGACAGCTGTGTTTACAGCTCTACCTCAGACCAAGCAATTGATGTGGTGGAAGTCCTGACCCAGTGCCTGGAGGCTGTGACAGACTAGATGGGGTAAATCAGACTGAGATGAATCCCAACAAGAAGGAGTTACTGTTAGTACAGAAACATTCTAGTTTCATGGATCTTCTATCAATTGCTTCAGACAGGTTTGAATTTCCCTGAAAGAATTAATGTGTAATTTGGGGTTCTCCTGAACTAATAGCTTCCGCTGTAACAGATGGTGGAAGCTGTGACTAGGACAGCATTTCACCAGTTTCAGTGGCTCCACCAGTTGTGCTTGTTCCAGGACTGGGTTGTTGAAAACAGTGACATGCCCTTGTCATCTCTCAGTTAGACTACTGTAATTCCCTTTACAGAGGGCTGTCCTTGGAGGTGATCTGGAAGCTGCAGTTAGCTCAGAACAGTAATTAGTTCAGCACAATAACAGAAGCTTTACAGATGTTACACTGGTTGTCTGTAGGCTTCTGGGCCCAACTCAAGGTGCTGATTGCTACCTATAAAGCCTTTTACTTCAGTTTCAGTTCCCTGCTCTTGTAGTCTTTGGGATCAGCAGCACCATTGCAATGCTCCTTCCAACTTGCTGCATATGGTCTCACCAGGAGAGGATGCTGGACTATAAGATTTTGTATGATCTCGGTTTAAATCATTGTTCAAAACTTTAATCATAATAATGAAACTGAAGGAAGTTATATTATTTTTTATTTAAAAAACCAGTAGCCTGATTTTTTAAAGATCTTTTTATGATTTATTTATAATTAGATATAATTTCAATGTCTCTTTTTTTTCTTCTGTTCCTCCCTTTCTGCCCCTGCATAGTAGTTTAGGGATTTATCTTCCTTCCTTCCTTCCTTCCTTCCTTCCTTCCTTCCTTCCTTCCTTCCTTCCT